TAAAAGGGTTTTGTCAAGACAGATGCTGAGCAAAAAGGAAATTTAAAGTTAGTTTTCATAGACACAGAGAAAGACTAGAAGTAAAATGAATTATTTCTGTCAAAGAGACTCCCCTCCCCTTTTCTCTCAGATCATGTACTTGTAAACTTGGCCATTGTAAGCACTTTCCCCTCTCTCTGAAATGCACATAGGTCTTCTAGAAAATCACATAGGCCTTTTGTCAGTTTTATGACGAAGTTATTATCTTTCTAAAGGCCTGCGATCCATCCTTTAAGTTATAAATATCAAAGGGGAACAGAACTTGAGGATTGTTTTATTTTGTTTACTTGGTTTTGTTGTATTGCATTTTTTGTGAGAAAGAAATGAGAGTTAGGTGTGTAGGGATAAGGACAGGATCTAGAGGGACTTGATAGAGGGAACGAATATCATTAAAATTTACTTAAACTGAAAAAATGTTTTAGATAATAAAAATATAGTAACAAAGATTCATCTTGTTCAATAAATAAATAAATATCAAGGAGAATAACAATCCTATCTTCCATGCCTGTTAGCGAGAGCCTGAGGAGATGGATTCCCTTCCTCGAGTTACAGAACTACCGTCTGTTGTAAAGATAGATTAGAAACAGGTTCATTTAAGTTACAAGAGCTATTTGGGAACAAGTCTAAATCACAGACCAAGCTTTCATAATTACTAATAAGTATACTCTCAATATTTGGGGCTAGTGATCCCACAAAGGAAAGTCTAACCACATTCATATTATTTCTTAGTTGGTGTATAGACATAATTTCTTAACACAAACAGTAGCTTGTTGTGTGAACACTGGCTGCAAGGCAGGCAGTTGGGTGTGGGTAGTCCCACGTTGGGCACCAGATGATGAAGGGAGCCAAAGGATTACTCTGCCATTTAGTATCAAGTAAAATCTATGCACAGTAATTACAAGAAAGAATGGGGACTCTGCTCCGCTTCTGCCTCCACTTGCCTTCCTTGTTCTAAAATGGCCTGAGCATCACTCTTCTCCACCTTATCTTTTGGTCATACTTCCCAATTAAAACTCTGCTCTTTGCTAAGAGAGACATACATGGATCTAACCTACATGGGAAGTAGTAAAAGACAAGATCACCTGAGTAAATTGGGAGCATGGGGACCATGGAAGAGGGATGAAGGGGAGGGGAGAGACAGGGAGGGGAGCAAAGAAAAATGTATAGCTCAATAAAATCTATTAAAAAAGAATAGTCCATTTTACATAGTGAGTTCCAGGACAGGCAGGTCTACATAGAAACCCTGTCTCCAAACAAACAAACAAACAAAACCAAAACAATAATAACAATAATAAAATAAATCTTAAAAAGCCCAGTGAAGAAAAAATAAAACTCTGCTCTTTGAACCAAACATCTCCATTTCACTGGCTAGCAGACTGGTGACAGAATTCTGTAACAGTAGTTGACCATCCAACAGGGGGACAGCACCCTCTGCCACTCATAGCTCATCCTAGATGAACCTGGAAATTGGGATATATATCTGTGCTGGATAATCACATTTGTAGAGAAAAGAAACAATTATATATATATATATTGCACCTGGCTTTTTATCTCTCTGCCATTCTGTATGTCTAACTCTCTCCATGTCTTGCTGGCTTATCCCACACACCTAAATTTATCCCAAGTTTCTCTCTGCCAGAAAGTTCTGCCTATTGTCTCCTGTCTAGCCATTGACCATTCAGCTCTGTATTAAACCAATTTATAATACATCTTCATAGACTGTAAACAAATATCCCACAGCATAAAAAGGGGTGAGATTTCTATTTTTTTTTGGTCTCTTAGCAAGCTACTATGGAATGTGGCATATTTAGTTTAATGTTTTTTTAATAATAAAATAATTCTCTATCAAATTTGCTTTGTTTTGCTTTGCTTTTTCTGTGCTGTGGATTAAACTGAGAGCCTGGAATATGCCAGGCAAACTACCGTTGCTGAATTTTATCCCATCTCATGGTTTTCTGATTTTTGAAAGATTTTTCAAACTAGTTAAATCCCAAAAAAGAGAGGAAGACAGAGAGAGCGAGATTTTCCAAGCTCTCTGGTCACCTTCAACTCATTCAGGAAATGGGGATTGTCTTGTCTGTTTTCCAAGTCCCAGGGATCTAATACTTTCTTATGTTCAGCCAAATCCTATTTTATTCATTGAATATTTGTTACTTGCCAACAAAATAACCTGCTGTGTATCCCTAAGTTCCTGCTAGATTTAAAATCAACTTCTGATGGCTTCAGAACAAAAATTATCTTCCCTTGTATACATGGTATGTAAGTGAAACCAACAGTCTTTCACAAAGAACTAGTAGACACACTTTTTTGAAGAATTAAAGGTATGTATGGGTAGTGTTTGCATCCTCAGTTTTGGTTGACTACATCTTTTTAGTTTTAAGTGAATTTGTCATTTTAAGAAATGATCCATCCTTGTAAATGTGAGTTTATGAGTGTATGATGCATGGATATGTTTGTGAATCTCTGTGTTTGGGGACAGGGGCAGAGGGCAACTTTGGATATCAGCCCTCATCCTTCATCTGGTTTGAATGGGGTCTCTGTTGTTCACTGCTATATATTCCAGAGTCGCTGATTCACAAACTTCTAGCCATTCTGCCGACTCCACCTCCCAACACCATTGGGGACTCTCTCTCTCTCTCTCTCTCTCTCTCTCTCTCTCTCTCTCTCTCTCTGACACACACACACACACACACACACACACACACACACACACACACACACCACACACTGTGTCTGACATTTATGAGTATTCTGGTGACTCAAGCTCATGTCACTGAACTTATGGGGCAAACACTACTGCTGAGCCATCTCCCCTGCCCAGATGATGCGTTTTAGCTACTAAGGACCTTTCTCTTCTTGCCATTCTTTTTCAGTTACCAATTCTCAGGTTTTGTGGTGCTTTGTAAGTCTCATTGTCCTTAAAGTTTCTCTAGAAAGATCAGATAGCCTGTCATAAAACTCAAGGATGGTTGTGCCAGTTCTTGCCCGCTGCTTGCAGGGAATGTGCTGGATCTCCCTCTCACTGAGCACTATGGTGTGCAGCAGTTCTCCAAAAGGGACTCAAAACACTGAGCTCCACTTTATTTTAGAAAATCATTTTACTCTGGGAATTAAAAACACAGATCCCAGCTCGCTGGCAAGCATCTGCTGCTCATTGATAACACCATCTGGTATTTCAACTCCTTTCTCTGTTGTAGAAGCTTCATGTCACTGCCTCCCTCAAATTAATTACTCCATAACAACTCAAATTCTGGAAGTACAGGCCACATGTAGTAATTTTGCCAAAGGCTACTAACTCAATTCTCTGCCTTTGTTTCACTGAGTGTTCGTGGACCATCACCTGGTCACAGTCCGAAGTGTTTTAGGCCATTGTGTTTGGGGTAGAGAAGAGGGAAAGGATACATACGACTGCCTAGAGCAAGTTGGGAGAAATGTGTTTATCTGCATTTTATAAGCTCATGAGAAAGCATGTCTTAATTTGAATAATTTATTTAGAGGAAAGATTATGATAATCCAGGCTTAGCTGCATCTGTTTTAGGCGCTTAAGAAGTGCTCATGAGAGCGGCGCTTGTCTTTAATATATAGCCATATCCTTCACCCCATGCAATTAGCAGCTTCTTCAATTATCGATCTCATCATTCAATTTGCAGTGGTGCCACAAAGTTCCAGCACTGGAACTTGGCCGCTCAGCCCAAGCACTGCAAAAAAATGAGCACTGACCGGATTCACTACCTAGCCTAGGGAGCCTCAGCCAGGCACTTCATCACTCAGATCTCGGGGTTCTCATTGGTGATTAAGTTGCCTTGACATCACCTCCCTGGGTGCTGTGATGCTCAGATGTGAAAAGGGTGGGCAAGACTGTGTCGTAGGCCAGCAGTCAGCAATGCGTACATGGTCCAGATTAAATTCGTTGCCTTATTTTTCACACACCACACTGAACTCATCACATGCATCTTCAGCATCTATGTGTACAATAGAAGCATTAAATAACATGGGGCTTTCTCACTTGGACACTCATGAGGTTCCATGTCTAGACCTCACATGGATAGAACCTCTGTTAGCATGACCCAGGAATTTGTGTTGTTTTAAGGTAAGTCAATTAACTAAAACAAACAACGAGGATGAAAAGCTACTTTGGAGTCAGACTCCCTTGACTCCACCATTCTGCTTAACACATGGCTTTGGACCAAGATCTGTGAACCTTGGTTTACAGCAAGTAAAATGAGAAGAAATGATTGACAGCTTTAAGAGTTGTGAAGTGATGAGATCCCTTATTTAAATGCACCTACTTCAATTTCTCTGTAGATGGCAAATGTTGTTCTTTACTCTTGCTTCCTGACTGCAGTTAAGGGTCTCCATCTGTGTTTGTGTGTCCACACCTAAGTTATAACTTCACTGAAAATACATTGTATCTTACAATTACTCCAAATACCATATAGCTCTTCAACATAGCACTAAACATACAGTAGGTAGATACCTAACACCTTTAACCACAAGTTTTTATTTATGTATTGACTGAAAGGAGATACAAAATCATTCTCTTCTCTGCCAAATATATACTAAATCATCACAGTTATATCCAGGAGACTGACTGCCGGTCTTAATAGAATGTTAAGATTGGCTCATCTTTTCATGGAAAATATATTCTGCAACAAAATAAGAAAGCTTCAGTTTACATACTACCTTTACAAAAAAGTCTTTTTTGTTCCAGAGTGTTTCAATTGATATGAAACACCAAAGGGGGAAGGCAGATGCTGTGCATAATTCTGGATGTACAGCCTAGATTTCACTTTTGAAAGAATTAATGTGGGTGTCACAAGATTTAGACAGGGGATCTGTGTTAGTTTAAATCAGTGGTTCTCAAGCCTACTAATCCTTTAATACAGTTCCTCATATTGTGGTGACCTCCAAACATCAAACTATTTTCATTCATACTTTATAACTATAATTTTGCGAGCAGTCCGTGCGGCGGCGTCTCCGTGACAGGTTCGGCCTCGCACACGCCTCCCATCCACGCCGCCAAGATGCCCAAGAGGAAGGTTAGCGCGGATGGAGCGGCGAAGGCGGAGCCCAAGCGCCGCTCTGAGAGGCTGTCGGCCAAGCGCGCCCCTGCCAAGGTGGACGCGAAGCCGAAGAAGGCCGCGGGAAAGGATAAGTCATCAGATAAAAAAGTGCAAGCAAAAGGGAAGAGGGGAGCAAAGGGCAAACAGGCTGATGTGGCCGACCAGCAAACCGCGGATCTGCCCACAGAGAACGGAGAGACCGAAAACCAGAGTCCAGCCTCTGAAGGAGAAGAGAAAGAAGCCAAGTCCGACTAACCATCCATCATGTCTGTCAGTGTCCCGCCTCCCTTCTTGTACAATCCAGAGGAATATTTTTATCAACTATTTTGTAAATGCGAGTTTTTTAGTAGCTCTAGAAACATTTTTAAAAGGTGGGGAGAAATCCTGCCTCATCCCATTTTTTAAGTGTAAATGTTTTTTTAAGAGGTTAAATCACTTGCTGGTTGTTTATTTTTTGGTACAACCAGAAAATAGCAGGATACTGAATCAGGAGAGGCTGTGACTGTCTCAGGGGTCACCATAACATTCCGTAGAGAGGGCTAGTTTTATATCCTACAACACAAAGCATATACTAAGTGGTAATTTGGAGTCTTGGTCGTGCATTTGTGTCTGGAATATTTTCAGTTATATCCGGTGTCGTGTTTCGTAGAACTGTTGGCTAAAAACCCACTCCTCGGCCCTTCCCCTGTCAGGACTGTCTGCTCATGGCGGTCCATCTTCCTAACAAGTGTGACAATGTGCTGTGAAACATTGAACTTTTTGAGTGTGTCCTGTGCGTGGCATAAAATGGTGAGTCAGTGGAGTTGAGGATTGTGAGCAATTTATTATGTGAGGTCTTGGAGAAGGATTGCCAAGTTTGGGGATGGAACATCACTTGGAATAAGTTCAAAGAGAAACAACACATGGCTCTTTTGGGTACGTGAATACAATGTATGACTCCTCAGAGTTTGGGTACATGTTTTAAGAATTGAAATGTCTGTGTACTTTACTCCTCAACCAATAAAATCTCCGTTGTGAAAGAGAGAAAAAAACTATAATTTTGCTACTGTTATAAACTGTAATATAAAAAAATAAATATCCAGTATGCAGATAGTTTTAGGGGACCCCTGTAAAAAAGTCTTTTAAAACCCCAGGGGCCACAATCTCCAGGTTGAGAATCTCTGGTTACGATTAGATGACTCTTGAGAGAGTGGATGGACAGGGACACTGGAGACAATCTGAAGAACGGAAAGCACAGTTACTATGGCAGCTCAGACAGGGACATTGGAGACAATGTGAAGAGCCAGAAATCACCATTTCTGTGTCACAGCAACAAAGAGTCTCTTCATCTTTTCTGGCAAAGACCCTCAGGTTGGTCTTAGGAGCTCAGCAGAGCCATCTGTGAGACTAACTTAAACAGGAAGAAAAAGAAGGGCAGAAAGAGGTACTCCTTCAGTGGAACATGAGCATATGGCCACAGAAGCAAGTCCTCTCCTCTGCTCTGCTCTGCTCTGCTCTGCTCTGCTCTCCTCTCCTCTCCTCTCTTCTTCTTTCCTCTCCTCCTACATTGAAAATATGCACAAGTTAAGGCAGACTGGCAGCCTCCAGTGTCCTGTGTGGTCACTGTATTAGTCCGCAAGGTCTTTGGAGAATGGTATCTAGGAGGTGTTATGCCAATTAGTGCTTCGCCATCCTCATTGCCATCAGATTGTCTTGTGTGGTTTCAAATTTGTAAGTTCTGAATTGAAGTCGATAGTCACGGAGGCCACTTTTGTCCCTGCCAATCCCTGGAGCTCCTCTTCGTTTTAGCTGCACATTCCAAGCTTCTGTCCAATACTCTCTTAGATTTCTCACTCCACACACATAGTTGTGATTCGGAGAGTGAAGGAACAGATATTTGGCTAGTATTGCAAGTCACTGTTAGTGAGAGAACCTTCAATAACACTGAGATATATTTCACAGGGTGCTGATCCACAAAATCCTAGACAACAAAGTCATGGAAGAAGTTAAACAGAAATACTCTGTAATTTAGGCAAGTGGAAAAAAAATGATAGAGCAATCTAAGCCAGACATCAAGGAAGACAGAAGCCCCAAACTCATGACTTACAGTAAATCCTCTGAGCATAAGGATGAGGGCCAGGATTGGAAGCAAGGTTTGCTTCTACACAAAGCCTCTGCTGTGCCATTCACTCTACCACTGCAGGCATGGCAAGGCTGGCAAATTGATGTGGGCTTTGTCCAGAAGAAAAGAGCCTCCACCAGATCCAACCACAAATCCATTTCTCTCTCAGTTCTTTGGTCATCCTTTCTTGTTCATGTATCAGTTCTGTGCAGTAGCTGCACAACTTACTAAGCCTGCTCTTGGAAACAATATCTATGGATGAGCATTTGGAGAGAAACAGTTCTGGGCCGATGTCTTTCTTTTTATTGGATTTCCATTAATACCATATTACCAAGTAACTATTTTCATAATGCACTTTTAAAATTTGATTTTTATTCATGACTTTTGTAATATAAAATCTATGACTAACACCAGAACTTTAATCTGTTTTGCATTTCTTTCCTATACTTCTACGTACATCATATACTACATGATTATATTTGTAATGTAATGCAGTTCAGTGACTTTTGCCATTTAATGTCATGAAATTTTTCTCCTAGAGAAATACAATTTCTTCGTTCATGGAGATAATAATTTCCTATGGCAAAGTTAATATTATATTAACATTAACATAACATTAGCATAGCATCCATGTAGTCTGGCATAAAACTCATTTACACTAATACAGCTTTCAATTTTATTTACCTAAGATAAGCTACCTAAAACAAAAACCAATAATTTAAATTTCTGTTCTTCCTAATTGTTTGGTGTTTTTGAAAAGGTTTCTTTCTTCTTTGCAATTGTTTCTTTCCTATAAATACAGGACACTGGATTACCAAGTCAGTGATCCTGAAAATGAAGAATTTACAAGAAACTTCTGCATAAGGTTTTGTTTTAATATTCAAATTTTTCATCAGGAAAGCAAAGCATGTATTATTTTACCCACTTCATAAGCAGGACACCTGAGCTTCTGAGATTGGGTGTGAACTGTAGCTTGACTAAAATATACATTCTCTAGTTGTTGGCTTTTTCCCTTAAATAACGAATATAAAATAGGAGTCTGGTTTGGAAGTTTTGTGTTTTAATTGCCACTGTAATCTCTCAAATTAATGTTTTTTCCAAAATTTTAGAATTGATAGTATTGAGAGATAAAAAATTCTATAGTGAATTTGAATAATAAAAGCCATTTTTAAATTTTAAAATCTATTATACTAGTCAATAACACTATTTGAGTCCCTCAGTTTTCCCAGTGATCCTGGAAGTGATTTACATCAGTGGTGTGCTGTGGTCAGGGAGAAGATTCTATGTGCATCTTCCCAGCTTGAAAGGGCTTCAGTGGAACTTGGCAGCAAGGGGACTCAGAAATTTGACCTTCTCACACCCCAAGAGCAGGTGATGAGGCACTGCCTACATCATCACATGAAACCAAACAGTCCTGTACGTCTGTTACGTTAGTGATTCTCATTCACAGGGTCCAGGAACAAATATTTGCCAATATTAGTCTGCTACAATGTAGGAGATTTGGACTCTAAACAAAGCACTGGATTCCAAAACTTAATATTTCACCTCACTATTGCCTGCTGCTGATCTAAAGTAATTCAGATATCTATAATACAACCAGGGATTCTTAAGGGAAATACTGGGCTGCAGATTTTTATTTCAATCCCAATCCCCACAGATGGATATGGCTCAATTTTGAAAGTATCTTGCTGCCTTTCATCAATGCCACTGTGATTCTCTGAGGGTGTTTAGTGGTGGTTGAAATGTAGGTAAGCGTACAGTCTTACAAAGGAATCATGTATTCTTGTGTTCTTAGGGCATAAGTTTCTTACCCTAGGTAATTAAATGAGTCAACAATCCATATAGCCTACTCAGACCATTAGGCCTGCTCCCTGTGATGAATGAGATGCTGAGTGCCTTCTGCTGCAGACAACATGCAAGTGGAGGCTGGTGTTCAAAATGCCACAGTGAACTGTCACGCAACTCCATCACTTCATCTGACACTGAATAACCATGGTATTATATATCTATATCTATATCTATCTATCTATCTATAGATATCCTCTCCCTTCAAAATCGTAGGCATGTTAATATGTTAATGCTTTCCATATATGTCATTGGTTACACCCCTGTCTATCAAGATACTATCATTCCATAATTATTCTGCAGTTGCTCTGGATTATTTATATAAATGGTTTATTGCTTTTGTAGAAGTAGAGAAATATCAAGTTGTAAGCCAACAATGGGTAGTAGCAACTAACAAAAGGGAGCACATGAATAATCAAAAGGTTAAATCATCAATATTTGGCTTGTCAACTGTAGGCATCATAAAGAAAGAAAACAGCATCTCTAAGGGGCTAGAAATTGCACTACCTGTCAATCAAATAGGATGGGAAAGTGATCTTGTTCCTACTTAAAAAACATATATTGGAGAAATGGCCTTAATACTTACATAAGAATGTTGTCTTTGGGATAATTTGTAGAAAGTTTACATATATAAAATACATATATAAAATATATCACATCTTATAAAAACTTGTGAGTACCTATAATCTTGGAGGAAGTCAATACTCTGAGAAGTGATGCAATTCATGGATATATCAGTTCTCCAGTGGCAGAAAAATGAAGGCTTTTTTTTAATTTGGAGTATATCATTTCCTATACTTCCAGTATCATACTGTGTCCAGAAAACATGTCTACTTGTTGAGGTACAGAAAACATTCATTCTAACTCCACATCAGTAACAGTAACTCATGCTTCCTTGCCCCTACTCCAACCCATTCATTGAGTTCAAGAAAGTGGAAGGGCTAGAGAGATGGCAGCTAAGAGCACTTGTTACTCTTCTAGAGGACCTAAGTTCAGTTTTGCAGACAGGCATCAGATAATTCAAGCCACCTATAACTCCAGTTCCAAGGGAATCCTCCTCTGGCCTCTACAAGCACCAATGCATGCACACACACACACACACACACACACACACAGAGAGAGAGAGAGAGAGAGAGAGAGAGAGAGAGAAACACACACAAATAAAGTAAATCTTTTAAAAAAGGAAAGAAAGTCAAGCAGACATTTCTATTTCAAATGTGCAGTTTGAAAAAACTTGGAATTCATCAGTGCAATTCTTACCTATTATCTCTTCAATTAACTTTGACATATTTGCAACAGTTCCTTAAGAAATGTTTCTAAAGAAATTTGATTTGTTATATCTTTGAGAAATTTAAGTCTAAAAATTTTTTTAAATGTGAGATAAAATCTTGTCTTTTACTGTGACTTAGGGCTGCAATGTTAAGT